GCATAGTTGCAGTAGACGGTCCCCGTTATCTGACCTGCGACCAACGAGTCCCCATCGGCCACCTAAACGACTCTCTTCTGTGCCTAGACGCCCGACCTGAGCATTCAAGTCTCCGGCTAGTACTACAATATCTGTCGAACGCACTTTCTGGAGAAGAACAGATAATTGGTGGTAAAACTCATCCTTGATTGCATCCGGGCTGCAATCTGTCGGAGCATAGGCGGAGATGACGAAAAGACATCGTTTCTCACGCCGATTTCTTCTCACTTTGATGGAACTTTCTAATCTAACAGCACATAACCGACTGTTAATGGGGATCCAATCGACTAGTGCTGCCTCAGCTCTAGCGCTTAGTGCGACACCAACGCCTGCAAGACCAGACGAAGATGCCACAGGGTCCCCGGATAAGCGCACGTAAAACAAGCTTTTTGAAGTGACAGATGTAGAGCGAATTTGCAGTACTTCGCTAGAGTCTTGAATACGGGTCTCGGATAGACAACAAACATCAATATTAAGACTTTCCAAAGACATAGCCAGCCCTATCTGTTGACCAACCTGCATAAGTGTGCGAACGTTGAAAGCAGCCAGTTTGAATGGCGCACGTGGTTTCAGAAAAACTGCTTCAGTACTCATATTCGATGGTAACATACAACTTTCAACCGGACAGTGACTCGAGAACTTTTAGATACAGTCGGATTTCCACCAAAGCCGAGCCGCTGTATAAGTATGAAAGAGGGTGAATAATGTGGGAAATAATAATAATAATAATAATAATAATGACGACAATAATAGTAATAATAATAGTATTAATAATGACAATAATAGTAATGATAATTATTTGAATCGATTGATTGTTTTTGTTTGTCGGAGCGATAAAAGTAGTTGCCAAAGACATAGAGTTCATCGTTTGTGTGTGGGCTGTGATACTGCCCGGGTGCCCAAACCGAAGCAGGTGGTTTTCTTAGGGGGCCACTTCCCGAGCCTTTGACCTAAAGGTCTAACCCACAAGGCAGTGGAGCATCGTAAGGAGATGCAATCCCATGGTAGCCGGTGACCAAGGATTGGTTCATACGCCATTTGTTCCCGCAGGATACTGGAGCCCATGTGCACCATTGGTTTGTGATCCGGTTAAAGCGCCGGACATTCGCTTTTCGTCCTCTCATTTTTGTAAACAACACCCCCGCCACGAGAAGGCAATGAGTAGGACTTCCCTGGCAGAGGCAACTGGTTAGTGTCACTAGCCCTCATACAGTGCTACCCAACTCTGAATATGTGTGTAATTTGGTAATTGAGTTTCGCTTATATTAACCAAAAGATCACGATCCTACATTTTACTGTAGTTCCTAAGTTTTACAATGTTGTTCGGTTTATTTCCAACAAGACTGAATTAGTCAGTCAGTCAGTAACAACGTAGAACTTCGTACGTACGTACATCAGTTCGAGTTGCCACACCACATTAGCACAGAGATGCACTTGTCGATTCAAATCCCGTAGTGATAGAGGTAATAAGAGTATAAGCAGTAATCGGGAAGATTAGGGTTTGGAGATGTTATTTAAAGAGTATAATACAGTGAAAGAAATTTGGAAAGAGGAAAAAAGGGACATAAAGAATTCAGAAGATTAGAGTTTGGGAGAACACAGAGAGTGGATGCACCTGCGCCATTGCAAACGATTTTGAGCCATGTCATTCAGGGTCTCTAACCATCGGTTGCTATCATCTCGTGGTCCCCAACCAGGTAGTCTACACCTGCCAACATGGCTCAGTCCACTTGTCAGTGACTTCATGGATTTGTGCCATGTTTTGGTTTGGCCGCCCCTAGCTTTCTTCCAACCTACTCCTATACCACTGAACATAGCACGTCGAGGCAGTCGGTGGTTGGGCATACGTAACACGTGTCCCAGCCATCTCAACTGATGAAGTTTCACTACTTCATGAATTGATTTGCCATCCTTACCTAGTACCCGTTTCCTAACAACTGTGTTACTTACTCGATGGTCCCATGATATACGAGCAATGTTTCGAAGACACCTATGATCAAATACTAGTAACCTACGGATATCCTCTACTCTTACCGGCCATGTTTCACTGCCATAAAGTAGGACGGGACGAACTGCTGCGCAGTAAACACGTCCTTTGGTTGATAGACGGATATCTCGCCTACGCCATAAATGACGCAAGTTGGCAAAAGCTAGTCGAGCCTTCTGTATCCGTGCTGAGATTTCGTCACACACCAAAACACAAGGGCTGATGAGACTTCCAAGATAAGTGAAGCGGTCGACACACTCAACTACTTCACTCCCTATCACTATTTCGGGTGTCGATGTAACCCAATCCTGAAGCAACATTTTGCATTTCGAGGGAGAGAATCGCATCCCGAACATGCTTGCATTGTTGCTTAGAATTATGACACGAATCACTGATTATATATATTCTTCTCCACTATATTTAGTTGTTATTGATTTGTGAAGTTTGTTGATAACGAATTAGGTCAGTAGTAACTACCATCAAGCTTAATTTTTCTTACACACTTTGTTTTACTTTGATCTTTGAATAATCTTAAATTAAAACAGTTGTACTTTCGTGTAAAATCCAAAGTTGTACAAAGAATTTACACTAGCATCTTTATACAGATCTAGCCACTCTGTGAGGGATAATGATATTACCCCGTTTTCCAAGAGAAAATAAGCGGAAAAGGGGGCTTCAAACTCGGAACTTAGTGGCTGAAAAGTTGGACAGGCTATACAGGAAGCGGTCTTAGTTGCTTGTTGAAGATTTGACTGAGTGATTTGCATAAATTTGATGCTTAACAGTTGGAAACTTTGTTTCCACTTTAGTTAACGTACAAATGATTTCATCAAACCTTACAACATGGTGTAACTCATTTCAACGAAGTACACATTTATTTACTCAGCTTTGAGTTGTGCATTTTATCTATCTTGAGGCTAGTAGTACTGTAGTGAACAAGAACACGGGTGGGGACAATCGATTGTATTTAGCACAAAAATTACAGACTATCTCAATAAAATGTGAATACCATAAAGTCAATCGTCAATTTGCAAAATATCATTCAATCATATCAAACTGTACTGTTCCCGTTGCAAACACTAATCCATTGTCGCCCATTCCATTGTACATGCGTTTTCTTACAATTCCATTGTGCTCTTGCTCTTCCTTTCTTGATCTTCGCCATCTTCTGCTGCCGGACATTACGTTCTTTTAACGCACGTTATATACTACTTATATCAATATAAGTAGCTCACACCACACTCGTCCCCCCCATAAAGCAGTCGTTCTTGTGGTGGTTCATGCTCGCCGTGCAACATTCTCCGTCTCTGCAGTCTGTGCCACGCTCTCCGTCAAGATGTCGAGTCTGCGGCGCGCTGACTTCCACAGCTCTGTCGACCCGCCGGGGTAACAACAACCAACATCCACCCGGCACCTGGGACGCTTGACATCCGCACTCCACCGGCCTGCTGAGCCATCTACATCCGATGTCCGCCCAGCAGCCGCGCGTCCCGACGCTCCACTCCGTCGACAGCACCCGCCACAGCCAACGCAGCCCCGCCAGGACACTTCACCAGACGCCACCTCTCCGCACCAGACTGCCCCAACTGGCACCTCAACTCCAGGCCCGCAACGGCGTCCGCAGAACAGCACACTCCTCCTCTCCTGGTTGGCAGCGACACCAAATGTAGTGAACAAGAACACGGGTGGGGACAATCGATCGTATTTAGCACAAAAATTACAGACTATCTCAATAAAATGTGAATACCATAAAGTCAATCGTCAATTTGCAAAATATCATTCAATCATATCAAACTGTACTGTTCCCGTTGCAAACACTAATCCATTGTCGCCCATTCCATTGTACATGCGTTTTCTTACAATTCCATTGTGCTCTTGCTCTTCCTTTCTTGATCTTCGCCATCTTCTGCTGCCGGACATTACGTTCTTTTAACGCACGTTATATACTACTTATATCAATATAAGTAGCTCACACCACACTCGTCCCCCCCATAAAGCAGTCGTTCTTGTGGTGGTTCATGCTCGCCGTGCAACATTCTCCGTCTCTGCAGTCTGTGCCACGCTCTCCGTCAAGATGTCGAGTCTGCGGCGCGCTGACTTCCACAGCTCTGTCGACCTGCCGGGGTAACAACAACCTACATCCACCCGTCACCTGGGACGCTTGACATCCGCACTCCACCGGCCTGCTGAGCCATCTACATCCGATGTCCGCCCAGCAGCCGCGCGTCCCGACGCTCCACTCCGTCGACAGCACCCGCCACAGCCAACGCAGCCCCGCCAGGACACTTCACCAGACGCCACCTCTCCGCACCAGACTGCCCCAACTGGCACCTCAACTCCAGGCCCGCAACGGCGTCCGCAGAACAGCACACTCCTCCTCTCCTGGTTGGCAGCGACACCAAATGTAGTGAACAAGAACACGGGTGGGGACAATCGATTGTATTTAGCACAAAAATTACAGACTATCTCAATAAAATGTGAATACCATAAAGTCAATCGTCAATTTGCAAAATATCATTCAATCATATCAAACTGTACTGTTCCCGTTGCAAACACTAATCCATTGTCGCCCATTCCATTGTACATGCGTTTTCTTACAATTCCATTGTGCTCTTGCTCTTCCTTTCTTGATCTTCGCCATCTTCTGCTGCCGGACATTACGTTCTTTTAACGCACGTTATATACTACTTATATCAATATAAGTAGCTCACACCACAGTACTACTAGGTTACACAAACTTTAATGTATATGAAGTGAGGTGTGAATGCGTGTTTTAATAGTTGAAGATCTTATGGTTCTGATCATTAGGTTATTCCGTTACATGTTTCAATGACATAAAAGCGAATCCAAACTTTTATACAAATAACTATGACTTGTCAAGCTGCATTATTATTATCATTGTTCAACAGGAAATAATTCACAGAATTTAGTGGGATTGATGTAAATATTTTTATAATTGATTAACATTATTTAGGAGCCTGTAAATGAACGTGAACCTGCAAAATGGAAAGAACGGACAAATCTACCACCTGTTTCCACATCATATGAGAATTATATGTTGAAAGTAAGTAGCCCGTCTATATGACAGAATTGAACTTTTTCCATGTATTTACAAATCGGCTTATAACATAAATGATCATCAGTTTTTTTGAAGATGTGACCCATTAGTTTATACACTCAATAATCAACCGATGGACCACAGATTCAGACACCTCTCTGGCAAAGTTCACTTTGGATTGCATATTCTCACACAAGTTGTGGAGATCATTATAGTCCAATAGACAATCGCGTTCATTACTGTTAAGTTACATGTACTTTGAGTCATACTTTGTTCTTAAAGGTTCGTTTTGTTAATTGTTTATAAGTCAAAGAAGTCTAGGTCACATTGAAAGTCAAATGTAATTCAACAAACTAATGTTCACAAATTATGATCAATGTCAAGGTATAACTTTATGTTAACGACTTAATTGGGCTTACGATTATGATAGCCTGTTCTACCCAGTTCGCTTTATACAGTTGAGGAGTATCACTAGTCTGCACATTGAATTTGTGACGTGAAATCGAGTATAAAAGTGTATGTACTCGGTTACTGACCTCGCAAAAATAACATTTAAATAAATTAGTTGTGAGATAAGGGGTGATTGGTTTAATCCTGGAGATTGTTTCCATTGCGAATTAAAATCAAATAGAGGAAATATCGAAAACTGTGGAGAATAGGTGACTGGCTTTAAAATCGATTCTTAAAGTTATTGTGAGAAGGGGGAGATTCCAAGCATGTCGTGGGAGTGAAACAGTTATTTACTAATGAATCATAGATGGCAGCCTACTGATCACTTCCAGGGTCCTTAATGGGCATTTCTAAGATGTTTCGATCAACGATGAAATTGATATTTAATGTACCCTGCTTCATTACTAATGCAGATCTATGGTGACAGTTGCCTGTAACCATCTAACAATCTCGAACAGTTACTCGCATAGTTTTCAGGCAAAAAACACCATTCTTATTTATTATAGCATTGTACAAATTGATGAGAATTCCACTTATTTACCACAAAAAAATGGACCAAATGTCCACAAGGTAGTTGCGGATCAAAATGTCTACACAAATAGTAGTAATGATAATTTTAATAAAAATGTGCTCACGTAAAATGCGTTAATAATACGGAAAAATAGTATACCAAATTTATGCAAAGAATTCCTTCCAAGTAACAGGCGACCACGTATTCATAAAATTCAAAATAGTTTCACAATCAAGGTATGTATTCAATATGAGGTTATGTAGAAGCTCTGGAAAATGTAGAGACTTTCACGCACATGGGCGGCTTAATCAAAGAATAAGGAGGATGTGATGCAGACATGAAGCCAAGGATTTGCAAAGCTAAGGCCGCGTTCTTGCAGTTGAAGAACATATGGGACTCAAAACAACTGTCAACCAATATCGAAGTCGGAATCCTCAATACAAATGTCAAGAAAGTTCTACTGTATGGAGTTGAGACGAGGAAAACTACCACGACCATCATCAAAAATGTGCGAGTATTTACAAACAATTTTCTACACAAGATACTCAATGTTCGTTGGTCGGATACCATCAACAACAGCCTTCTGTGGGAGAGAACAAACCAGCTTCCAGCTGAAGGGGAAACTAGGAAAAGATGTTGGAAGTGAGTAGGATACACATTGAGGAAATAATCAAACCGCATCACGATTCAAGCATTCACTTGGAATCCTGAAGAGAAATGGAAAAAAAGGAAGACCGAAGATGCATTGAGTATGGAATTGAAAGCAGACATCAAAAGGATGAATGGCAACTGGAGGCGACTAGAAAGGATTCTCCAGGCCAGCGTTGGATGGAGAATACTGATGGGCGGCCTATGCTCCTCCACGAGTGGTAACAGGCGTAAGTAAGTAATAAGGCTGTGGAGATAGTTGAATTTCACTGAAGTCATGAACTGATCTAAGTTAGACCACCATTAAAAAATGGAAGTATGGGACTCCTCAGCAGTACACACTCACTGTCTTACATACGGGAATCGAACCTGGGACCTTCAGTCTCGCTATGTTCTTATAATATCATCTCTGTCTTTTACTATCAACCCAGGTTAAGATTAACTCTACGTGGGATTAGAATTTCAGTAACCCAAATCGTCTTGCTTATTAAGATTTCAAGATTTATAATGAGACGTTCGGATGTTGTTAAATTGGTGAATGCCATAGGTAATATCCGGTGATACAATGTGTTTTAAGTGATGACGATTCACAAGACCAAATTATTGACATCAACCCCCATGTGAACTGATATCAGAAACCGAGAAAGCTGCCCGGCAAAATAGGAATCATTTTACCTAATAAAATAACGAGTATGTATGCGCGGGATTAAGTACCAAAGAAATCAAATGATGAAGCATAATTGATTAGAGGATACATAGATTTCATAGATCACTCTGAAGTATCGATGAAATAATGATCCAACCGTTAGACTTAATTCCTACCTTGTCGTCTAAAAATTCATCTCAAAGCTAGTCGAGTACAAAGCACACAGTTTCACTATGTTTGCAATAATGATGTTGAGTAATTACCTAAACACAGTAGTCTTTTAACAAAACTGTGATTAAAGATTATACCCTTTATCACATTTTAACAGTGCAACTTGCTACCAAATATATAATATATTAGTTTGCAAGAATTAATCTACAGTTTTCCTGTCGTAAATTTTCCTCAGAAATCAACAATCATATTCATTTATGAATCATTTCTTTCCTTTTTCCAACATTTTCAGTGCCAAATACAAGATTTTGTGGCGTCAGTTTTACAAGTTTCTGAAGATCGTTATGATCAAAGGTTAGTGGTTATGACATGAATAATAATTGAGTTGTATATTCTTGGTTTAAGAACTTTCCAAGATCAGAAAGAGGCTCTGCAGTTCTGAAATCGCAAACATTGATCTATTACAAATCATGTGTGATTCTTACAGTTAGCTAGATCACTAAAGAATAGCTTGAAGCACTAAACGGCTGTTTCTTCTACGAAACTGAAGATTCAGGGTTGGATTCTCTGATGTGACGTGGTAAATGCGCACTGTTGAGGAGTCCCATACTAGGGCGAAGTAGCCGTCTTATGCTTTTTGATTTTTAGTATTGGTTTATAATTTAGAGCATGAAGACTTTAAAGTTTTCACAAATCTCCTTACACTCATATGTAGTTATTTGTATTTGTAACGCTACACTATACACGTTTTGCCTGTTTTTTAAAAAAATACTTGTCTTTCAGCCAAGCGGACACTTTTCCAATGGTTGGTTATGAGTTTCCAAATGGATTCAATTTTGAATTGGGTCATGAACGTTTTCAAATCCCTGAAGCTTTATTTGATCCATCTATATTGTTAGTAAGTTTATGGATATTTTCTTTGAGTTTATAAAATTTTATGTTATTAAGAAAAGAAAATTTTTATGAATATTATTTGTAGCAGTGTTATCTAAAGTGTTTGTATTGTCCTGTTATTGGTATTCACCATTTCCTTATCATCAATCTGTTTTAGCATATAGTTTCTGACAAGTCTGCTGCTGTAACGCTTTTTAACCCTAGACTACTTCTACACGTCGACTCAAACAATAGAGAGAAGGAAAAAATCTGTGTAACGGCTTTAGTTTAGGGCTAGCTTATGTGCAGGAAATCAAGTGTTAATTAAGTTGTAACAACTATCAAGGGATAAGTTTACTTCCAACTGCGTCCAAGCTATTGGCTTCCGTCATACTTCGTAGGTTGTTCAAAACCCGAGAATGATTGACTCGCGAAGAGCAGGCTGGGTTTCGTTCTGGTCGAGGATGTATTGATCATATCTTCACCCTCCGCCAAATGTTAGAACACCGTCATACTTATCAAAGGCCAACAATCGTAGTGTTTCTTGACATTAAGGCTGCCTTCGATTCGTTGGACAGGACTGTTCTCTGGGATTGTCTATTGAAGAAGGTTGTGCCTGAGAAGTTTATTAACATCCTAAAAGCCCTATATACAAACACCTCAAGCAGAGTGAGGGCATACAACCACCTCTCTCCATTGTTCCATTCGAGCAGTGGGATTAGACAGGGTTGCCCAATCTCACCATTCCTCTTCAACTTTGTCATCGATGACATTCTGGAAACAGCTCTGATGGATGTAAGTAATGGTGGTGTGGACCTGTTGCCTGGAGAAAGACTTCTCGACCTTGAGTATGCAGATGATATTGTCTTACTGTGCGATAATGCCCAAGGCATGCAATCCGCACTTAATCAGTTGGCAATCAGTGTCCGTAAGTATGGTATGTGCTTTGCACCTTCGAAGTGCAAAGTACTTCTACAAGACTGGCAGGATTCTAATCCTGTACTCACCCTGGATGGTGAGCAGATAGAAGTAGTCGAGAAGTTCGTGCATCGAGGTAGCTGCATAAGTGCTGGTGGGAGTGTGAGTGATGAGATCAATGCACGTATAGTGAAAGCCAGAGCGGCTTATGCCAACTTGGGCCATCTTTGGCGCCTTCGTGATGTTAGTCTGGCCGTAAAAGGTCGAATCTACAACGCGTCGGTGAGAGCAGTTTTGCTCTATGCTTGTGAAACCTGGCCTCTCCGAGTTGAGGACGTTAGACGACTCTCTGTGTTCGATCATTGTTGTCTCCGAAGGATTGCTGACATTCAGTGACAACACCATGTTAGTAATGCGGAAGTTCGGCATTGTGTGTTCGGGCACAGGGACGATAATCCAATTGGTGTCACCATCTTGAAACACCGACTTCGGTGGCTTGGACATGTTCTCCGAATGTCGTCCCAGAGAATTCCACGTCGTGCATTATTTGCCGACTCTGGGACTGGTTGGGAAAGGCGGAGATGTGTTCAGTGCATGACATGGTGTCGTGGCATGAAAGAAAGCTGCAAAGGACTGGCGTGTGTTGGTTCTTCACGACTCCCTGGTTGGGGTCCGAGAGATGGTGCTACACAGTGGCTAGAGACGTTATCAGATATGGCTCAGAATAGAAGCCAGTGGGGATCCTGTTGTAAACTTCTTTTACTTTCTTCGTAAAAAGTAGTTGTGTCTTCCTTAACTGGAAGATTTCTTCTGATTGTACCTTTCCGTTCCCTCATTATTACTATTATTATTACCACACTACCTTACACCAATCTCTTCGTTATGCTCTTTTTTTACGCTCCTTACCTTTCTTTTCTCTTCGAATTCTCATTGTTTTGTGTGGCGCATATATATTGGCGCTCCCTTGTACCAATATTTATGTGTTCAAATAAATAAATAAAAAATAAATACGGAACGTAAGTCGTGCTTGATGTGTCTGTGCGTTGAACCACATTTTCTTTCATTAATGAGTTATGTCCAATGAAATCCAAGGGTATGTGTTCATTCAGCTGGATGCTTTTAATTGCGAAGATTCATTTTTAGTTCTGTGCATTATCTCAGCTGTTCTACTTCGTGAGATTGGGCAACCCTGTCTAATCCCACTGCTCGAATGGAACAATGGAGAGAGGTGGTTGTATGCCCTCACTCTGCTTGAGGTGTTTGTATATAGGGCTTTTAGGATGTTAATAAACTTCTCAGGCACAACCTTCTTCAATAGACAATCCCAGAGAACAGTCCTGTCCAACGAATCGAAGGCAGCCTTAATGTCAAGAAACACTACGATTGTTGGCCTTTGATAAGTATGACGGTGTTCTAACATTTGGCGGAGGGTGAAGATATGATCAATACATCCTCGACCAGAACGAAACCCAGCCTGCTCTTCGCGAGTCAATCATTCTCGGGTTTTGAACAACCTACGAAGTATGACGGAAGCCAATAGCTTGGACGCAGTTGGAAGTAAACTTATCCCTCGATAATTGTTACAGGAACGACGTGAACCCTTTTTAAAGAAGGGGACAACTTTCGACTCATTCCATGACGTTGGTACACTCTCTAGCTCCCACACCTTTGTAAACAACGTCGTCAGTTCTTTAGTCAAAATGTCTCCACCATTTTTAAAAAGAGCCGGAGGTAAGTCATCTGGGCCAGGTGATTTGTAGCGCTTCTAGTGTTAGAGTTCCTTGCGGACTTCCGCCTCATTTGGTGGACCAGTCGTCATCGGCCATGGAGAGCAGGACGGTCTGACTGGTGTTGCCGGAGCAGCAGGCCGGTTGAACTGCCCTTCAAAAAATTACGCCCATCGTTCAAGACGTCGATGAATGCTAGTGATTGGCATCCCATCATCCTCACAGATTGTTTCACTCACACCAGACTTCTTGCTGCCAGTGGCTCGGATGAGTTGGAAGAGCTTCCGGTAATTACCAGATGCAGCTGCTGCTTCCAGCTCATTAGCACGCTCCGACCACCAGGCTTCTCGGTCCTTACGCAAGCTTTGCCCAATTTCACTACGTAACAACCTTCGTTAGCCGCCAAGCTCACGGTCAACCGGAGTAGATCGACGGGCTTCAATGAGTTGTAAGGAACCAGAAGAAACCCAGTGCTTAAAAGCGGGACGTTTCGCAAACCCACAACTGACTGTACCCGCCATTTTCATGGCGTTATGCAATTGCAAACAATGCTCATCTATACTTTTCGGTGGATTGGTAGCTAGCCTAGAAGCTAGCTCGGCTCGATACTTACTAGCAACAGAAGTTGCAACCAGCTTGCTAACATCAATCCGTTGATGGCGTTCACTTCGTTGTCCACTGAAAAGTAAGGCAAGATTGGCGCAGACCGAAGCATGGTCAGAGTCCAGATAGGTACTCCAAAAGGAGCGGCAGTCTTGTACACGACCACACCAGCGGTAGCTGATCGCGATGTGATCAATCTGAGTCCAGGCTTGAGATGCAGAGGGAGGACGCCAGGTGGCACATCGGCGATGACTGTGCCGAAAGTTAGTGCTAGCCATAAACAGGTTTTGGTCTGTGCACCGGATATACCTTCATTTCAGTGTTGTCAGTGTTGTTTATTTGGACTAGAACCTATTACATATCATTCTTACTAAGCTTCTAAGTCAGGATGGCCAATAAACTGTCTAACATGTATGGTATTCATTATTAATAATACTATTAACCTTAATGCACAACTATATATATTATATATATTCAAAGGGGCCTGTTTGTATGCGAAAAGCCTCTATTAAGATTTAACCTTGAATATCAATTACAAGAAAACCGAAACCTCTGACTACAACAAATATTAGTACTAGGTAATATCTGCTTAAAGCAATAGATACTGTATTTGAGCATTATTGTGTTGGACACTGCAATACAGGTAGGTACATCCTAATTGAAGTGAAACACATACTTTACCTTTCATTTCTAAGCATAATCTATTCTTTTTTCGTTTCACTCATGTAATTTTCTTTATTTTAAACATTATAGGAAGCTGGCGGGAGTTCAATGTTATCAATGAGTCACATAGTGGCTAGTAGCATTAGTATGTGTGATATTGACATTCGACCTGTAAGTGTAATTTATTTTAAGTATTTTCTTTTTACTGTTTTATTTTAATTAGTGTATTAATTGACAAGTCAACATTAACGTATGGCTCAAGATAGTTCAATTCACTTCCTCAATACAGGGAGATGGAATTAGTCGGACTATTTGTGATTAATCAAATAGATTAATTATAGAGTATTTGGTTTTAAAAGAACTAATGAATCTATGGAAGCTAAGAGAAGATGAAGAATTAATATATTTAATCTCAGATTGAAACTAATTTTAAGGCAATTTCGATTCGGATTCATTTGTTAACTTTGAATACATAGTTTATAAATCGTTGCTTAATGAGGACACCGACAAAATCCAGAGTCTTCTAATTTCCTGTAGAAGCATTACAAGCATGTTTGAGATGGATTTCTTCCAATCAAAACAGGAGATGTTTCCATAAGACTGATCTATGTCAACGTCTAAACTAATAACTTGGAATGAAGTAGTTGAAGGCGCAGACTATTTCACTTATCTCGTAAGTCTCATAAATCTTGGTGTAGTACTGATTTTAGATGAAACTTTGGCAGTTCGACAAGCTTGGTTGATTTTTACTGATTCAAATGTCATAGTCAGGATTTACGTCTGCTAACTAATGGGAGTGTGTACTTCTGAATAGCAATTCACTCTGTGCTGTTTTGCGGCTTCGAAGCATGGACTTCGATAGTAGAAGACTTGGGTAGGCCCCATTACTTGTTCACTAATTTCTTTGGAGTATCTGTCACCTACTCTTCGTGGAATAACTAAGTGGTAGAGCAGAGTGGACTGGAAGAAAGCTAGGGAGGGGAACCAAGATATTATATTAATTCATAAAACCACTGACTGTTAGAAATTGAGCATGTTGATAGGTAGAGACCACGTGGTTGGGATCTTCGCGATAACCTTGCCCAATAGTCGGAGACGTTGAGTGACATGATTCGGAATCGATCACCCACTCATCATACACTAAGTTAAATGTCAATTTTATCACTACCTAGAGGGAGAAATATTCGTCACATCACTTAATTTATGTATCCATACACACTACTTACTAATAGTCAGTAGTCTGAGTTACATGGCTATATTTCTACTTTTCGTATGCTGCAATAGGGTAATATACTTTTGTTTTCAACAGACCAATCATATTTCGATTAGTTCTCCTACTTCTGATAGTACTTATTATGTATTTATTCTCACTATTCATGCTACTCTTTTAAATTTAATTTATACTAAAAGAATTGTATAACTGAAATGTAATGCCTAATTCCTGTTTTTATTGGTCTCATTCTCACCTCGACATGCTCGTGTACTGTTTTCTGATTTACATTGTATTCTGTGGTGGACCAATACAAATATGAAACTATCTTAATTCAATCAATACTCCAAAACGTATAAAAAGAACGAGTTAATCGAACACAAAAACAAATATATACAGAAACATATACGTTACTTGTTATTATTAGAAGGATGCATGTCCACAGATCCAAATAGACATATATAATTATAATAATGTAGGTAAAGTAATTCAAGATAATGTCAGATATAGATTCAAGGTGTTCATGTGTAATTGACAGGGAATATGCTGTATGAAGTGAACTAAAACGTGTGCAACAGGCTTGTTAGTAAACAGTTACAAAATGGCAGCCAACAAAGTCAATGTATATGTGAACACGTGTGTTTGGGAAACGGTAATCCTTAAGATATATGAGAAAAATGAACGGAAATAAAGGGAATTGTTGGAGAGACCCAGAAAATTCCTCGAAAAAGGTCAAAAGCGGCCCTGAAAACACTGAGCAACATCTTATCCAATTAGCATTCAATAGAAGTTTCTCAGAAACATCTATTAAGCTAAAAGTCACATATCATATTTCTGACTGGATAATTACCTATTCTGCTACTATGTTAAAAAAGGGTTCCAGAACTTTCCAGAGGCCCAAGGCCATCTGAAATGCTATAAATACCCTAGACTTTCTGTACATGAACGAACCTTGGTGTAAAATGTTCTCTCTATATTTCGCGCCTTTTCTCTTATGTTCAAGTTGTCATGTAGATTTGATCTGGGAGTTACTAGAAGAGCTTAGGAAACTGAATCAAGCGTTCAATGAGGAAATTTGTCATAACCAAATGTTGTTTTCTCGTTGGCTATAAAATAATTCAACGTCATTCAGATACTTTACTTCCACCGATCTACCATCATATCATTAACCCTATAAGTTAAAATGAGAATTCTTCTTAAAAGTATGATATCCAATAGCAGGCTATCCGTAATCTCGTTTTAAAAATCATGCATAAACTCAACAATCTTTATCTTCATTCCGACTGATTGATTTCATTTGCTTCAACGCTGTCAGTAGAGTTTAATTTTACCATGATTATTTATTTATTTTAACACATAAACAATGGTTCAGCGAGGTACCAAAGAGATATGTGCCACATAAGTGATTAGATTTATGTAAGGGCTGGAATACTGTTCGGGTGCTGGAACCGAAGCAAGTGGTTTTCTTACGGGCCGCACCCGGTGCCTTCGACCTAAGGGTCTAATCCACCATACAGTGGAGCAACTTCAGGAGATGTAGTCCCATGGTAGCCGGTGACCAACAATAGATTCATACACCATTTGTTTCATTAGGATCCTGGAGCCCATGTTCACCATTTGTTTAGAATGAGAGTTTTCTTCTCACCGTACCACTTCCTTTGCCGCAGTTTATGCCATCCCCATCGAAATGTCGAGTCCGCTGGCGCTCTGACCTCTGTAACTCTGTCGAATTGCCGAATCATCTACATCCGATATTCGCCTAGCGATCAGAGATCTCGCCCTTGCTCCCCATCGACTGTGACTGCCGCAACCAATTCCGCTCCTCCAGAACACTACACTCAACGTCACCTCCCTGCACCAGACTGCCACAACCAGCGCCTCCTCTCACGGCCTCGCATTGGCGTTCGCAGAACTTCATGCTCTCCGCCTCTTTGGCATTGACACCAAATGTAGTGAACGAAGACTTGGTATAGATAACCGATTTATTGTTTAATGCAAAATTACATTGTCTTCGTAAAGTATGAAAACCATACATTACATACATCATTTGCACATCTTCCAGCTCCGATTGGAAGTGGAAAGGTCACCAACATAAGATTTAGAAGACTGAAGTGGAGAGAGGAGGAAAGAACACTGAAAGCAATCAAGATTACAACAGGAATGAATAAACAATGTAGTTCGTAAGAAACAATCCAAAAATGTGCAGATGATGTACCTAGTGTATGATTTTCACATTTTACTTAACCATTATATGATTTTGCATTAAATAATAAGTTGGTTATCCCCACCAAGTTTTCATTCACTGCACTATTACTAACATCATTTGAAGATAAACCGGCGAGACTATAATTTATGGACGAACCAATCTCGTATGAGATAACAGGTCTCGGATTTCGGCACGAAATTCACCCATTCATTTGAATAAATAGAGTTTTGGCATTATAGCTGATGCAGGTTAGTGATGAAAACCCTAAATCTTATTCCTAACCTTAATCATCAACTGTAAATCATAATTCTAATCCCACACACAGGTTTATAGCCCTCATTTGGTCCTGGTTATTAGGTGTACACTCTCAAGGCCAGTCTGGTGTTACTCAAAGGTCGTCCATAAATTATAATCTCACCAACAAACCATAAAAAACACAGAGGGCGAGCGACAATTGAACAGTTGTTTTGTGCCAATCATCAATTCAACATGTATTCAGGTTTGAGTCACTTGTTTTGTGTATCATAGAACTGATGATATTGCACAGTTTCTCATGTTGAATTACATTGAGCAGTTGAATTTTAAACCTGTGAAATGATAAATAAAGACATGATTGTTTGTTTTTGCAATTTATATCCCTTTCATTGATTACTATCTTGTACTATTGAAGAAATATTCAATGAACTTATTCTCTTGATTTGGTGAATTCTGTCTCTTTGATTGTAATAACCGTCAATTCAATACCTTTTTATATTTACAGAATTTTATTTTATAGTAATATTAGGGGCGGCCAAACCAAAATGTAGCATTAGTCCATAAAGTCACTAACTTGTTTTCTGAGTCATACTGGTAGATGCAGACTACTTGGTTGAGGTTCACATGACCACTGTAATCAGTGGTTGGAGACTCTAGATGATATGGCTCACAATCGATCACAGTGTTATAGGTTTATACCCTCTTTGTATACCCTTAAACCAAGTTGTTTTATACCTTTCTCTCCACGATCTAATTCTTTCTTCTTGAATCATATCCTTACATGCAATCTTTCTTTTATATATCACTACCATTGAAGTAACTACTTGTGATGCGGTATTGATTACATAATGAATAAACATTGATAAGAATATAGTGAGTAGAGTTCAGTTGAAAGATTAATAATTTGAAAGATAGTTGAAAAACTAAAATAAAGACAATGATGTAATAAATACAAAAGAAAAAAAGGAAAAAAAATTTTTTAAGGTGCAGCGAAAGAATATTTGTCACCAAGGCAAGGAAAGATTAACCACTGTCTTCTTTTGAATACATAGGTCAGGATTTTGACGCCTGATGGCAACGGATTCAGTAAACTTCAGAAGACTGGAGTTTGTCTGCTTACTAATCACCCTAAAGGATTATAAGGTATTTACCTGATATCCTATATCAAGGAGATGTTTAGTGATTGCACTATTCAGAGTCTTTCTTTCCCTTGTTCTAGGACTTTTTGGAACATGTTCAAAAAATCTAAGATATGGTCTCCTTTCAGTTCGGCCGATGTAGCTGCTTTGGCAGGTACAACTGTATTTATAAATACATCGTACATCGTACCATAAAATAGAAAACAACATTTGTACAAGATCTAACCAAAAGAGGCTGTGAATGTGGAAGATAGTAATTGATAGATTGGGTATAATTCAAGAATGTTAAATCGTATAATAATAGTCAATGGGTCAAAATAAAGCTTTTAATAAGAGGAACATGAACATGAATAGTTTCAGTCAGTCAGTCAGCTACAACGTAGGACCAGGCACATGTATGCATCGGTCCAGGTTGCCATACCTCATTAGCACAGCAAGATGAACACCGGATTCATAGGAGTGGTTAGGTTAAAGGTGGTAATATATAGGAGAAAGATTGTAATAAGGATATAGTATAGGAAGAAAGAATTAGTTCGTAGAAAGAAAGATATGAAGTGATTCTAATCTCTTAGTTTAAGGAAAGACAGGGAGTGTATACACCGACGCCATTGTGATCGATTCTGAGCCATGTCACCAAGGGTCTCCAACCATTGATTACGAAAGTCACGCGGACCCCAACCAAGTAGTCTGCATCTACCAACATGGCTCAGACTAGGAGTTAGTGACTTCAGGCACTGATGCCACGTTTTGGTTTGGCCGCCCCTAACTTTCTTACAACCATCCCCTACACCGGTTAGCATTGCACGTCGCGGTAATCGGTGTTCAGGCATACGTAACAAGTGGCCCAACCATCTCAGCCGATGAAGATTCATAACCTCATCAACTGATTTACCATCATTTCCTAATACCCTGCGTCTAACCTCAATATTACTTACCCGGTGATCCCAGCAGATGCCAGCAATATTTCTAAGGCATCTGTGGTCAAATACTAGTAGCTTATGGATGTCTTCTACTCTTAAGGGCCATGTTTCGCTGCTGTAAATTAAAACAGAACGAACTGCCGCGCAGTATACTCGTCCTTTTATTGATAGACGGATATCTCGCCTCCGCCAAAGGTGACGCAAGTTCGCAAAAGCCAAACGAGCTTTTCGAATCCGTGCTGAGATTTCGTCAGACACCAACCCATTAGGGCTGATCAGACTTCCAAGATAAGTGAAGTTGTCAACGCGTTCGACTACTTCACTCCCTATCCTTAGTTCAGGTGTTGACGCAGACCAGTCCTGAAGCAACAACTTGCGTTTAGAGGGAGAGAAGCGCTACTTAATAATTATACGATAAAAATATACGTTTAGTGTTAGTCCAGAAATAGATCCCAATAGTTACTATTCATTATTCTAATCGGGATATAACAGTACCCATCGGTATTCACTATATATAAGTTATATTGATGAATCGTTTTTTTTCTTTCCTTATATTATCATTTTTAGAGTTTGTATAGTAATATCATAGTTGTTGGTGGTAACAGCTTAATCACTGGATTTACTGATAGATTACAACGAGATTTAAATATTAAAACACCACCGGTATGTTTGTATTTATTTATAGAATAATAATATTATTATTACATAATTTAGAGTATGAGATTAAAAGTTAACTTTCCTAGTACAACAGCTGAACGTCGTTATTCCAGTTGGATTGGTGGTTCTATTCTAGGATCTTTAGTAAGTAAAATGACATGTATATTCTATTAGATTTATATCTTTTACGTATAGCATTTTATTCTGACTGAATTGTATTATATGTCTATTATAAGTATCATCAGTATTGTCAGTTCTTATTTCAAATGTTGTTAAATAGTGAATGGATTTCAAAGTTGTTTGATGTAGAGATTTATGGATGGTTAACTTAATTATTAGAGGGGGTTTGTGGAGGTTTTAGAAATTTTACAGATTGAAATCATGAGTTAATTGAAGTTTGGATTGGTTGAAGTTAGACATTAACACCGTCGGATGCCGGCTCAGTGGTCTAGTTGGTTAAGCGCCTGGCGCGAGACTGGTAGGTCCTGGGCTCGTGTCTCGCGGGGTGCGGGGTCGTGAGTGCGCACTGCTGGGGAGTCCCATACTAGGACGAGACGGCCGTTCAGTGCTCACAGGTTTTCCATAGTGGTCTAGCTTCAATTGAATCATGATTTCAATCTGTTAACTTGATTATCATGAAAAAGTCATGGGTTAATTATGAATTCTAGTTAGTGTATACTTATGATATGCACCTCACATTGAATCCAGAACATTTTGGGCTTCTCGATGAACTATTCATCTTTAGATCACTTAGTTGAAAATCAATTGGGTCCATATTCCAATTTAAATCAATTCGGATTTAGTGGAGTTTAACTGTGTAGAAAATTTGGCAGTAGTTTTACACTAATCAGATAGGATGGTTGTCGGACTGTCACTAATTAACTCAAATCGGAAGTATGAATTCATTAAACTAGTGATTTCACGCCAATTCGGTGTTCCTTACTAAGGTGACCTTCAATAACCCCTTGATTACATGACAAAAAAACTATAGAAAATTTCGTCCTCATGTTTTTTCTGTTTGTGATACTTCTTATCACACTAAAGTCAGCCAGTTATACGCAACGTAGAACCTGACACATATGTACATTGGTTCCAGTTTCTATATCTCATTAGCACAGAGTGATGAAATTATCAAGTAAAAATATCCCAGAACAGTAGAGGTAGTAACAGTATTAGTGCTAAGAGAAAAGATTCGGGGTCGAAAATGACATTTGAGAAGGAAATATAAATTAGTGAAATAGTAGAAAAAGTTATGAGGAATTTAAGAACTTTGAATATAAAGGAATAAAAGGAGTGAATGCACCTGCTTCATTGTGAACAATTCTGAACTATGTGACCCAAAGTCTCTAACCATTGGTTACGATAATCATACAAACTGCAACGACGTAATCTGCACAGACCCATTTTTATGGCTGAGACCAATATTTAGTACCTTCATGAAATGGTGTCATATTTTGGTTTGTCATCCTGTAACATTCTTCCAACCTACTCCTACACCACATAACGTCGTGTGTCGATGTAGGTGATCGATTGATTGGCACATGTAATACATGTCCCAACCATTTCAGTCGATAAATATTCACTACTTCTTCAATCGATTTTCCATATTTATCTAGTACTGTGGGTCTAATTTCAGGACTGTTAACTCGATGGTTCCAAAATATACGAATAATTGTTTGAGCGTATCTATGATTGAATACTAATAACTTCCAAATATCCCCTATTTTTAAAAGCCACGTTTCACAGCCGTTGAATGAATATTTAATTTGTTTTTCTCGATTTTACAGGGTACCTTCCAACAAATGTGGATATCTAGTCAAGAATATAATGAATTAGGCAAAGGATGTGTGGATAAAAAATGTGCTTAGGAAGAGCATATATTTATTAATAAAATTCTTTGTTTACCCATCCTACATGTATTTTACTTACTCGCTTTCACTCGCACGCACTGTGTGTGTGTGGTGGGGTCTATTAACATGTATAATACAAGTGTAATCTGCATTTCTTTGTAATATATGTTTACATATTGTCTATCTTTTCTGTGTTTACCTCTTCAACGGAGTTTAGTTCGACTTATCACGAGTAGTCATACTCTAAGTGTATTCTTTGCATTTTGTTAGTAAAATTATAGACTTACCTATGTTATGGCAACTTAGGTCAACTTAGATCTGTCCCAGGCTCTATATTAATAATGATTGATACAGTTGTGCTTCAGTATAAAAACAACAATCTTCTTTAACATTCTAAGTTACAGGTTCAAACTGCTATCTCCATCTATCCAGTTCAGGTCAGATAAATAGTTTTGCTATAAATGTGATTTAAACTCACGTATGTGATTTATATGTGTTCGAATACTGATAGCTAGTAGTGGATTTCGGGGCATGCGTTTCGTCCTATTTGGGACTCGTCAGATGGATACACATGCATCCAAGAGTTTATGTTTACTCCGGAACTGAAGCTCATTACAAATGAATTCGAATAGAGTTGTGTCAAAATTACCTTATACAGGCTCTCTACTCGAACACAACTGGTAGAGTGAGAGCTTATGGCGAACTGTCATCAGAACTGATTACCTCAAGTGGTGTTCGTCGGGGCTGTCCACTCTCCCCATTCTTGTTTAACTTTGTGGTCGACGTACTTTTAGAGATAACACTCTCCTCATCTAAATTTCCAGGGGTTGAACTTCTACCAGGAGATTCACTTGTTGACTTGGAATATGCTGATGACATAGTTCTATTTGGTGAAGACGCTTACAAAATGCAGAGTCTTCTGACCACTCTAAGCAACAATGCAGGCATGTTCGGGATGCGATTCTCCCCCTCGAAATGCAAAATGTTGCTTCAGGATTGGGTTGCATCGACACCCGAACTAATGATAGGGAGTGAAGTAATTGAGCGTGTCGACCGCTTCACTTATCTTGGAAGTCTCATCAACCCTTGTGGTCTGGTGTGTGACGAAATCTCAGCACGGATACAGAAGGCTCGACTAACTTTTACCAACTTGCGAGATATCGGTCTATCAACCAAAGGACGTGTTTACTGCGCAGCAGTTCGTTCCGTCCTACTTAATGGCAGTGAAACGTGGCCGGTAAGAGTAGAGGATATTCGTAGGTTACTAGTATTTGATCATAAGTGTCTTCGAAGCATTGCTTGTCTATCCTAGGACTACCGAGTAAGTAAAGCAGTTGTTAGGAAACGGGTACTACGTAATGATGGCAAATCAATTCATGAAGTAGTGAAACTTCATCAGTTGAGATGGCTGGGACACGTGTTACGTATGCCCTACGACCGACTGCCTCGACGTGCTATGTTCAGTGGTATAGGAGTAGGTTGGAAGAAAGCTAGGGGCGGCCAAACCAAAACATGGCACAAATCCATGAAGTCACTGACAAGTGGACTGAGTCATGTTGGTAGGTGTAGACTACCTGGTTGGGGACCGCGAGATGACAGCAACCGATGGTTAGAGACCCTGAATGACATGGCTCAAAATCGTTTGCAATGGCGCAGGTGCATCCACTCTCTGTGTTCTCCCAAACTCTAATCTTCTGAATTCTTCATGTCCCTTTTTTCCTCTTTCCAAATTTCTTTCACTGTATTATACTCTTTAAATAACATCTCCAAACCCTAATCTTCCCGATTACTACTTATACTCTTATTACCTCTATCACTACGGGATTTGAATCGACAAGTGCATCTCTGTGCTAATGTGGTGTGGCAACTCGAACTGATGTACGTACGTACGAAGTTCTACGTTATTACTGACTGACTGTGCCAAAATTTAAGCTAATAATCTTTTCCGAACAGTCTTGACGTTTCTTTTGTCACTGATTTACATACTTAAGCAACTGAAGATAGTATACGGAACGTAACCCCCAAATGCCCTGGTACGGCCGAGAGTGGGGAGAGTTCGCTCTCCCTCTCGAAGTACTCTCACACGGCCACGCGTATACAGCCTCTGCCAGGGAAGTCCTACTCCCTCCCTTCTCGTGGCGGGGGCTTAGTTTACGAAATTGAGAGGACGAAAAGCGAATGTCCGGCGCTTTAACCGGATTCCAAACCAATGGTGCACATGGGCTCCAGTATCCTGCGGGAACGAATGGCGTATGAACCAATCGTTGGTCACCGGCTACCATGGGACTGCATCTCCTTACGATGCTCCACTGCCTTGTGGGTTAGACCTTTAGGTCAAAGGCTCGGGGAGTGGCCCCCTAAGATAACCACCTGTTTCGGTTTGGGCACCCGGACAGTATCACAGCCCACACACAAATTGATGAACTCTTTATGCCTATGGAAATTACCTTTCTCGCTTTGAAAAACAAACAATTGATTCAGATTATTATCATTACAATTATTGTCATTATTAATACTAATATTATTATTACTACTATTATTGTCATTATTGTTATTATTATCATTATTATTATTATTTTCCACATTATTCACCCTCTTTTATACTTATACAGCGGCTCGTCTTTGGTGGAAATCCGACTGTATCTAAACGTTCTCGAGTCACTGTCCGGTTGAAAATTGTATGTTACCACCGAATACGAGGACTGAAGCAGTTTTTCTGAAACCACGTGCACCATTCAAACTGGCTGCCTTCAACGTTCTCACATTTGTGCAGGTTGGACAATAGAGAGGGCTGGCTATGTCTTTGGAAAGTCTTAATATCGATGTCTGCTGTCCATCCGAGACCCGTATTCAAGACTGGTGAAGTACTACAAATTCGCTCTTCATCTGTCACTTCGAAAAGCTTGTTTTACGTGCGCTTATCCGGGGACCCTGTGGCATCTTCATCTGGTCTTGCTGGCGTTGGTGTCGCTTGGTGTCGATTGGATCACCATTAACAGTCGGTTGGTTATGTGCTGTTAGATTAGAAAGTTCCGTCAAAATGAGGAGAAATCGGAGTGAGAAACGATGTCTTTTCGTCATCTCCGACACGACAGATTGCAGCCCGGATGCAATCAAGGATGAGTTTTACCACCAGTTATCAGTTCTTCTCCAGAAAGTGCGTTCGACAGATATTGTAGTACTAGCCGGAGACTTGAATGCTCAGGTCGGGCGTCTAGGCACAGAAGAGAGTCGTTTAGGTGGCCGATGGGGACTTGTTGGTCGCAGGTCAGATAACGGGGACCGTCTACTGCAACTGTGCACAGACCACAACCTGTTTCTGGCTAGCACTAACTTTCGGCACAGTCATTGTCGATGTGCCACCTGGCGTCCTCCCTTTGCATCTCAAGCCTGGACTCAGATTGATCACATCGCGATCAGCTACCGCTGGTGTGGTTGTGTACAAGACTGCCGCTCCTTTTGGAGTACCTATCTGGACTCTGACCATGCCTTGGTCTGCGCCAATCTTGCCTTACTTTTCAGTGGACAACGAAGTGAACGCCATCAACGGATTGATGTTAGCAAGCTGATTGCAACTTCGGTTGCTAGTAAGTATCGAACCGAGCTAGCCTCTAGGCTAGCTACCACTCCACCGAAAAGTATAGATGAGCATTGTTTGCAATTGCATGACGCCATGAAAATGGCGGGTACAGTCAGTTGTGGGTTTGCGAAACGTCCCGCTTTTAAGCACTGGGTTTCTTCTGGTTCCTTACAACTCATTGAAGCCCGTCGGTCTACTCCGGGTGACCGTGAGTTTGACCATAAACGAAGGATGTTACGTAGTGAAATCGGGCAAAGCTTGCGTAAGGACCGAGAAGCCTGGTGGTCGGAGCGTGCTAATGAGCTGGAAGCAGCAGCTGCATCTGGTAATTACCGGAAGCTCTTCCAACTCATCCGAGCCACTGGCAGCAAGAAGTATGGTGTGAGTGAAACAATCTGCGAGGATGATGGGATGCCAAACACTAACATCCATCGACGTATTGGACAATGGGCGTAATTTTTTTAAGGGCAGTTCAACTGGCCTGCTGCTCCGGCAACATTGGTCAGACTGTCCTGCCCTCCATGGCCGATGACGACTGGTCCACCAAATGAGGCGGAAGTCCGCAAGGAACTCTAACACTAGAAGCGCTACAAATCACCTGGCCCAGATGACTTACCTCCGGCTCTTTTTAAAGATGGTGGTGACTTTCTGAATAAGTAATTGACGACGTTATTTACAAAGGTGTGGGAGCTAGAGAGTGTACCAACGTCATGGAATGAGTCGATAGTTGTCCCCATCTTTAAAAAGGGTTCACGTCGTTCCTGTAAAAACTATCAGTGGATAAGTTTACTTCCAACTGCGTCCAAGCTATTGGCTTCCGTCATACTTCGTAGGTTGTTCAAAACCCGAGAAAGATTGACTCGCGAAGAGCAGGCTGGGTTTCGTTCTGGTCGAGAATGTATTGATCATATCTTCACCCTCCGCCAAATGTTAGAACACCGTCATACTTATCAAAGGCCAACAATCGTAGTGTTTCTTGACATTAAGGCTGCCTTCGATTCGTTGGACAGGACTGTTCTCTGGGATTGTCTATTGAAGAAGGGTGTGCCTGAGAAGTTTATTAACATCCTAAAAGCCCTATATACAAACACCTCAAGCAGAGTGAGGGCATACAACCACCTCTCTCCATTGTTCCATTCGAGCAGTGGGATTAGACGGGGTTGCCCAGTCTCACCGTTCCTCTTCAACTTTGCTATCGATGACATTCTGGAAACAGCTCTGATGGATGTAAGTAATGGTGGTGTGGATCTGTTGCCTGGAGAAAGACTTCTCGACCTTGAGTATGCAGATGATATTGTCTTACTGTGCGATAATGCCCAAGGCATGCAATCCGCACTTAATCAGTTGGCAATCAGTGTCCGTAAGTATGGTATGTGCTTTGCACCTTCGAAGTGCAAAGTACTTCTACAAGACTGGCAGGATTCTAATCCTGTACTCA